CGCCTCTGGTCCGGGACCCTGGCGCCACCGCTGCGGGGTCCCCACGGGCACGCACAGCCCCCGCGCACCACTGTCCCGGGGCCGCGCGCTCCGCGCTCCGCGCTCCTGGGGGCCACACTCGCCCTGCCTCGTGCTTTTCCCCGGAGTCCAGGGGCCTCATTGCCCTGGGCCCCGCATGCCTCTGCGGGCGCCTTGTGCGTCAGCTTCTTAGGGACAGCGTGGCGCGGCTTGTAGTGTTAGCTGTTTAGGGGCAGCACGTGCTGGGCAAGGTGTCTTCCCTTTGGGGCCCGGGGTCCGCATGTGCCACCGCCCAGAGTCTGCGTGGCCCAGCGGTCCACGGTTCTGGGGTCCCAGGGTCCCGCCCTGGGGCACAGGCAGCCGGCTGGGAGCAACGCCATTGGTCGGAGTCCCCCTGCTTTTGAGGGGTTTGGGTTGGACCGGAGAGGGCGCCACAGCAGAACCAGCCTCTTTTATTTTTTATTTTTGCTGTTGTTTATTGATTGACTGATTGAGAGGAAAGGGTGGGGGAGAGAGAGAGAGAGAGAGAGAGAGAGAGAGAGAGAGAGAGAGAAACATCCACTTGTTCCACCCATCCATGCATTCATTGTGTGACTCTCCCCACAACAGGAAATCAAACCCTGGTATAGCCTTACCATGCTCTAACCACGGAGCTACAGGGCCAGGGCCAGAACCAGCCCCCTAAGGTCTCTTGCCTCTCACCTTCCTTTCCTCTTTTCCTTCCAGTCCCTACAGCCTTCTCGCATCAGAGAACCAAGGCTGTGGGCCCTGCCTGTGGCCTTCTCCTTCAGGGAGGGGAACAGGCTCCGGAGTGGAGGGTGCCCGCTTCCCCCCGGGATTTCATAAAGAGGGTTAGAGTGTTCACTCATGTGGCAAACCTTGGCTCAGGTGCCCTGGAGGCAACCACACCTGCCCCCAAGAACTCACCTCCTCTGGTGGGGGTTGGGGGGAGACAAAGCCAGGAACACTGCTGACATGCACAACATGGTGGGGTACAGAGTGAGGGGAGGGAGACCACTTTATTTTATTTTTTGTCTATTTTAAATATATATTGATTTCAGAGAGGAAGGGAGAGGGAGAGAGAGAGAAACATCAATGACGAGAGAGAATCATTGATCCGCTGCCTCCTGCACACCCCGCAATGGGCATTGAGCCGGTAACTCGCAACTGGGAGCATGTGCCCTGACTGGGAATTGAACTGTGACCTCCTGGTTCATAGGTCAACGCTCAACCACTAAGTCATGCCGGCCAGGCGAGAGAGACCACTTAGATGGACCCATGAGGAGGTGACTGAGCCCTGACGAGGTGACTGAGCCCTGGGTGATCTGTGAAGAGCTTTCCAGGTGGAGGGAGCAGCAAAGGCGGTGGTCCTGGAGCAGGAGAGAGGGAGGATTATCTGAGGAACAGGGACATTAGAGAGGGGACTGGGGCGGGTGTGCAGGAGAGGTGGTCCCTGGAGTACACTTTGAGAAACAGCTCTGTGTGAAGGGTCAGGCGTCGGCCTGCCTCTGCCATCTGAAAATTGGGGTTTTTATACATGTTTTCCCTTCTCATTGTTGGTCTTCCCTCGAGACACCAAGCTCCATCAGGGCCAGGGCTGTGTGCTGCCCTCCCAGCATCTTCCGTACCGCCTAGCGCAGACACACCAGGCCTCGGAAATAATTGTTGGTGGAACACTCAGTGAAATGGGGTAGATTTCACTATCTCAGAGGGACCTCGAGGATGTGTACCTGAAACCTATGGAGGGCTTGTTAAAACCCACATGGTTGACCCCAGCGCCCCCGAATTTCTGGTTAGAGGGACCCTTCTAGCAAGTTCCTTGGTGATACTGTTGCTGCTGGTTTGGGGGTCAGAGTTTGAGAACCACTGATGCTGAAGGTTTGAAGCGTAGCCCGGCTGGGTCTCGCTTCCAAGCCCAACTGAGCCACCAGATCCACTGGGGATTGAAGCCTTACTGCCTATTGTGTAGGGGCAGCTGGACCTATGAGCACCGCTGTGAGGAGCTGCTCCCAATGGCTGGGCCTCTCAGAACGCTGTGCACCTGAGACAAATGTTGGGGTGACCCATGAACAGAAGACCCTGAGACACTGGGTGGAAACCATCAAGAAGGGTAGTCCCTCCCTCCTTTCCTGCCTCCCTCCACCGCCCTCATCCACCTCACATACACAGACTCACTTGCTGTGCCCAGGAGTTAAATTACTGCCTGATCTTATCCTTGACTTGTGCTAAACTATGTCCAATAAAATTCTTTTAAATCCTTTTAAGGAATTCCCTCTTTTCAGTCCCCCCTCCCTTTAGAGCCTTCCAGATTTTCAGCTCTTCATATCTTCATTTTCCGCCCGAGAAGCATTTCTTCCCAAGCTGTTGTGTGGAAATAGATGCTGGTGCTGCCTGTGAAAGTTTTCTGAAAAGATGGGATGCTCCATGCTTGCTGAGCACCTTCAAGGTGTCGGGGGGGAGGGGGGGGTTGCTGAATGTCAGAGGTACACACTGGGCCAATAGGTGGGGCTCTGGCTCACAGACCTGTTACATTTGGCCCTGCTGGGTTAAATTTTTTTAAACAATTTTGAATTAGTTGCCAACCTTTAAAAATTGGGAGATTTCACATAAGTTCTTTTTTTCCCTTTTGATACATTGGGAGACCTGGCTGACATCCCTCACGGGATGGTGTGCTGGTGCCGGGTCATGGCTTCCCCACCTCTTGCCTGTGGTTTGCCCCTCAGCCCACATTACGTCCTTTAAGTTACCACGGGCCCAGGGAATTGTGAATGGCTGGTCTCTTGCGCTGGTTAATTGTCTAGGGTCAGATAGTAAATGGCAAAGCTGTATCTGAATCCAGGCCTGTGTGACCAAAAGCCCAAGCGTGGCACTGAAAAACAAGCCGCTATCGGTATGGGTGGCAGCACGCGCCTGGCGCCTCTGGCCCCGAGGAAACACCTTAAAAGGGAGTTGCTGTCAGCGGTTTAAGGATATGCCTTCCTTCCCATTCATAACCAACTGTCAGTTAGTCATAAAGTTCTGGGTTGTTTTTCTATGGCCTGAAGGGTTATGCAGAGCTCTCCAAACTTTTTTTTATCCATCTTCTCCCTTGAGACGAAAAGACTTAAATTTGCAAGGTAACTGGTTATTAGGAGGTAAGTGTGGGGAGGGTGTGGGGGGGGTGGTGTTTTTCTCCCTTAGCTCTCTGGTGAGGGGGGGCGGTTTGCAGCTTGTTGAATTAGGGTGGGGCTGGGACGATTTTGCCTGCAGTCACTGCTCCAGGCACTCGGCCTCCTCTCTGTGCCTCGGACACCCCACGCAGGCTCCGTCCTTCTGTCTGGAGCGGCCTTCCCACGGATTTCCACACAGCTGTTCTCAGGCCTCAGGCAGTGTCACCTTGGGATCTGACTGAGACCTGTCCTGGCCGGGATCAGGGTGCAGGGGGTGAGGCTGGGGCATGCAAGGGCACAACTTTACTTGAAGCTTTCTTTGAAAAGTTGATATTTTGCTCATAATAGATTTGTTTTGTACTAATTTTGATTAAAAATATTCTATCAAAATGTTATTTATTTATTTAAATTTTTTTTGATAAGAGTTTATTTGAGCCAGACTGTTGACATATGCCAGGGAGCAAGATCTCAAATGTTATTTATTGTGATTACTGACATTTTGGTGCCCCCTTACATTTTGCATCCCAGTGAAGGGTCCCATCTGCCTCACTCCAGCCCCTCTTTGCTCCTAGCCCCCAGGGAGCTCTGGATGGGGAGTCAGGAGACCTGGGTTCTGGGCCAGCCTGTGCCATTAGACTAGCTGTGTGACCGGACACAAGCCCCGTTGGTGCCTTGAGCCTCTCAGCTGCACCACTGACCAGGGGAGGGGTATACTTTAGTTCTAGAATGATCCAAGATACCTACTAAAGCTCTGATAGGTTGTGCATTGTCTCCGGACACATTGGGGCTGTTTCAGACCCCGCTGACACTGGTAATGATGGGTTGTCACTGTCCTTTTCCCAGCACCCTATGCGAGGGGTTCCTCTGTGCAAACACCGATCTTCAGGGCTGCAGCATGCCATGGGATTGCAGCCCTTGCTCATTTCCCCCGTTTGGGGGAAATTTTCGGTTTTGGAGGTGAGTGTGGGGAGGTGGTGCACTCTATTCTTTGATGTCTTGCTTTTTGTTTTTTGGTCCCGTCCATTGGATCATGGCACACATGTTCATTAGGGACTGAGCAAGCACTCGGGACCCAAAAGACACAGGTCAGCCCACAGATCCACATGCTGCCAGATGTCTGCATGGGGTGAGGACTTCCAGCCAAGCCAGGGCCATGTGGAGAGAATGGTGCACGGCCCTTTCCCCTGGGAGGACCTGCAGTCCTGTGGTCTGCAAGTGCCATCAGCTCCGGGCACCTTCCTGACAAGCCAGTGCCACAGCTCTGTGTTATGGTTCTCCGGGTCCCGACACCTCACAGCCCACCTCCTTCATCCAGCTTTCCTCCACTGCTCCAGCCCTCAGAGGACTCGCGCCTTCACTTTTCTCTCTAAGCCTTTACCAATTAATAGGCGTTCAGTCTAGAGCTTAATTAAACTCTGTCTAGAGTTCCTTGTTGCTTCAGCCTGGCCAGAATGTCCTGGTTCTTGCAGGGACACTTGCCTGGCAGTCGGTAACAGCAGGGAAGGCTCTGCCCCCCAACTTAGAGGGTACAAACAGGTACATCTTGCTCCATCGGCCATGCTTTAAAAATGATGAATTATGTGCCAGTATTTGAAAATTAGGAGACCTCATAAAAAAAAAATCTTCATTTCTGGCTTCCCTTGAAAACTTAGAAGATGTGCTGACCCTGAATGTACTGGTAAAATTGTCTGAGGCTGGCAACAACTTTTTCCATGAGGTGGGGTCTAGGTTCTCCAGTTTGCCACAGTCTCCACTGCCCCTTAATATCTAACACTGTGCTTCCTTTACTCATCTACCTGCCTGGCTCCTATAAACATTTGAGATTTTGTTGTTGTTGTTAATCCTCACCTGAAGATGTTTATTTCCCCATTGATTTTCAGAGACAGTGGGGTGGGGGGCAGGGAGAGAGAGAGACAGAGAGAGAGAGAGAGAGAGAGAGAGAGAGAGAGAGAGAGAAGACACATTGATTGGTTGCCTCTCGCAATCGGGGATTGAGCTGCAACTGAGGTATGTGCCCTTGACCAGAATGAAACCTGCTAGCCTTTAGTCTGAGGGTCAATGTTCTATCCACTGAGCCAAATCGGCTAGGGCAGCCCTTGATATTTTCACCCTGGCTTTCAACTTTTTTCTTTAGGAGGAAAGACAGCTCCTTACAGCTGCTATGCACCGGCAAGGCTCAGAGGAAGGCTGGGCATTATTGCTGAAGATTGTTGGGTAGAGTGGGAGGGGAGAGTCAGGAGGGTGCTTGCTAAGAATCTATTTTGTAGCCTCTTGGTATCAATGAACTCAGGTGGGTGTTTGAACCTGGTTAGTACTAGTTGCTTTACTTGTATATACAGAGATATAATTAATGTGAATATAAAAGAATATATTTACAAAAATTAAAAGAAGCTAACTTATTGAGAGCACTTACTTTGTGCCAGATCTGTCCTCAGAGTTTTACATTTAATTCATAACAACCCGATGTGGTCAGTACTATTATTTCCCCTATTTTTAGAGCCGAGGGAGCTGAGACACAGGTAAGTAATTTGCTCAGGATTGCAAGAAGCCGTGATTGCAACACAGACTGAACGGCCCTGAACCTCAATTTTAGCAGGATTGCAGCTACCGGGAGATGATGGCTTTTTAAATGGTTGTCTTCTCTGCACCGTCTCATTTCCTGGGATTGTAACCTGTCTCCCTCCTGCTGGGAGTGCAAGGTTTGAGGCTCTCTGCCTTTGGCACAAGGTGGAAGGCACCCCGTCTGCAGGACTGTTCCTGTGGGCTGTTTGATCTGGGGCAAGAGGAGTGGACAGGATGGGAGTGGGCAAGAAAATAGTGGCCCTGTCACCCCGGATTAGGTCCCCTGAGACAGCACACGGACCCCAGAAGCGCAGGGCCCACCAGCCAGCCCTGGGTATGAGCTCATCGCCGTGTCCCCGGGTCTGAGGTCAGCACCCCGTGCAGCACTCTTGCTGCAGTGGAAGATTTTCGGATCTCGTTGTTACTTTGCATCGCTTCTGGGCTGTGTTCCCTCTTATTTCATTTTCATCTGAAATCCTGAGCTCACCCCCCTCAGCAGCTGACGGGACCATTTATTTCCAAGGCTGCAGCCAGTCGGAGGGCTGCCGACAGCTCAGCGGAGCGGTCTGGGCTTTTGCCACCTGGTTTTATTCCTGCAGACAGGCATGGCAGAAACGACGTCTTCATTTTTGCAGCGATGGAGCTGTCAGAGCCTCAGAGCTCCCGTTCTCATCCTTTTTGCCCAGAGGGCACTGCTGTGGCGGACTCTGCCTGTTGGTCTTTTGCGCTTTTGGACGCAAAACCTTGAGAGAGCACAGCTTGAGCTTTGCAAGGGTCCTGTCCAATGCCCTCCCCTCCCCGCCCCCCGAACCTCCCCCAGGATCGTCATAGTGGGACTGGCTTAGAAAGATTGTGTTGTCAAACCTTCTCTCAGATAATGAAACAAAAGCCCAGAGAGGGTAAGAGACTTGTGGGGATTGCACAGCAAGTGAGTGGCAGGGGAAGGCTGGCAGGCTGGGCCCCAGCCCTGTTGTACTACACCAGCCTGCCTCGTTAGGGTCCCAGAGGGCCAAGCCTTGAGGGACTCTGCCCTACGCACCAATGTTCTTCCGCCAGCTCTTCATGGGTCCCCTCTTCCCTTCATCTTGGCTCAGATGTTCTCTCCGCAGACAGGCCCCCTCATGCCTCTGTCTTTAAGCATCACCCCCCACCCCCATTCTCTCACATCCTCCATGTGCTTGTTCTCAGGGCTCTGATCAGTATCTGAGATGATCTCCGATGAGTTTAATTTACATTTTATTGTCTCTCCCTCCAGAATGCAAGCCCCACAGGGGCAGGGACCCCCGGTGTCTGCTCCCTGGTCTCTTTCAAGCACCTGATGAAGAGGGTCTGCAGGGCGCTCTGTGGAATGAAGGAAGGAACCTCGCCAGGTGGGTTTGGGGGACTTCAAATGATCCCTAAACAAGGAAACCGTTTTCAGGAAGCAATGGACGTTTAAATGTCTGCAGAATCACTTTGGTTTGCTTTAGATAAGGGTTTTATTGGTGGAAACAAAGTCCACTCCTAAAAATGCTCCGAGGACCAGACATCTAGCCCCACTTTCAAGGGTTCACTTGGCACCGTGTGCTGAGCTGCGGGCCTGTGCCGCGCCCGTGCAAGGCGCTGGGCACGTGGAGACGAGGAGAAGCTGGAGCAGTCAGGAATCGTCTCCAACTGGCCTAGACAAGGAGAGTCCACTCGGTTCACAGGATTGAAAAGTCAAGGGGTTGGTCTGCCTGACTCCAAAGCCCATGTTCTTTCAAAAAGACTTTTTTGTCATCATTTGACACTTGGTATATGTTGATGAGCTGTTACTAGTCTTAGAGCAGCAGGGATGGGAGGAAGCAGCAGGCTGGGAAGCCAGGGGGAGAGACTGGAGCTAGAGAACTGTCCTGAGAGGACCAATGACCTTCAGTTGAGAGATCAAGTAGCCTGATGCAACCCCAGGCTTCTCCCTCCCTCTGATCTTGCTGAGGCTCCCCATTGGCCAGGCCCAATTAGAAGGGGACGGGTACATGCCAGCCTCCCAGCCACAGAGAAGGGTGGAGAAAGTTATCTGATGTGGAGGCCGCCTGCAAACTCTTGTTTGGAGCCCTAGGTTTTTACCAAAGCGTTGTGGGGCCGACTCAGTGGGCAAGGGATGAGCCAGTGGACTGGCCTCTGATCCGGCCAATACGATTCCACGAGTCTGTACTAGTAGGTGGTGGAGAGAAGGCGGAGGGAGAACACAAGGCCTGAATTTGAACGTCAGCTCTCCCACTTTGTAGGTGCGTGACTTCGGATAAATCACTGTGCCCTGGGAGCCCAGGGACTGACGCTGCTCTGCAGCCCTCTCTCAGGGCTATGAGAGTCAGTGAGGTTCAGAATGTGAAAGTGCTTTGCAAACAGCTGAGTCTTGGACAAATCGGTTGCTTTACTCTCAGCTGCCAGGGCGTTTGCATTGTTGAGCCAGAAATTCCAAGTCTAGTTGCAAATTGTGGTCACCCTGAGGACCTGGGAATGACCGCTGTTTTCAGTCCAATCAATCTACTTAAATTGTTTTCTGATGGAAAAACCCACAGAATTCTGAGGAGCCCAGGGGTGGGTCACAGTTCTGTTACTCATGAGTTTGTGCTGGGGGCCTAGAGATAAAAATCTTGATTTCAGCTCAATAAATGCCGCAGGCAGGGATCTGTTCTCTCTCTTCCTTCCCTTTCTCCAGCCAGAGCAAGCACCTCTGGGGTGAGGGAGGAGGCAGGGGGTGGGCAGGGCTCTGTGCTTCCTGCAAAGCTGTAGGAAGTGTGGGGAAAACTTTAGCCTCTCTTTTCTTTGGGGACTTACCTGCCATTCTGTAGTGGGTAGGAGACGCCCCACGGCTGGAGCACCGTGGTCCCTGCACCAGGGAGCAGAGAACATTGCCTGTGGTTGCCAAGGCATTTAGCGGCAGAGGGGCGTCTCTTTAGCAATCTGGGCACTAGCCCAGCGTGAAGTCGGCTGGTGGGCACCACACCACTAATTGCTGTGATTTGGCCTTGAGCGCTGAGAACAGCACATTGTACCCAGTGCAGGGTTAGAGGCGTTCTCCGCCAGCCCTGCTGCCTGCTGCCAGTTGCCAGCTTTGATAATGAGTCAAGAATCATGTTTGTTATTGGGGGGTGGGAGAGAGGCCCTCCTTTTTTGTTTCATTATCACTCCCAGCCACAGGGACCTGTGGGCAGCGGCCCGAACTCTATCCTGGGTCAAGAGACAGGGCATTCGCCTCGGCTCTGCTGCTCCCGGAGTGCATGTCCTTGGACAAGTGGCTTCTTTTTCCAGGCCCCAGTTTGCCCGATAGTAAAACGAGGGACTTGTGCTGCGATAGGGGATGTTCCTCCCAGTGTGTTTGTAGGCTGGGTTCCTGGCCACTATTGACATTTGTGTCAGGAGGATTCATTGTTTGTGGGGTCGTCCTGTGCATTGTAGGGTGCTTAGCAGCAGCCCCGGGATGGCCAGTAGCACTCCCCCGCAAGTTGTAATAAACAAAAATGACTCCAGTAAAAAATGATGATAAAACCCCCTGGGTAGCAAAATTGTGCCTGGTTGAGAACTACTGTTTTAGGGTACAGGCTGAAGACTTGCAGGTTATGGAAAATCTTTCCCCTGGTATTGCTCTGGGGGGTCAATTATTGTCATTATTTTTGTTGTTGTTAGCCATTCCTACATGTATATGTATATGTATATGTATGTGTATATTTGTGTGTATGTATATGTATGAGTAATGTAAATGTGTACATGTATGGTATGTGTATATGCATATGTATATGTATGTTTTGTGTATGTGTATATGTGTGCATGTGCATGTGTATACGGATACGTATATGTATATACCCGTGCTTCCATCTTCACATGGCTTTCTTCCCTCCTATGTCCTCCCACGTCTCTGTGTCCAAATCCTTCTTCCTTTCTCTAACAAAGACACTAGATTTAGAGCCCATTCTCATCTAGCAGGACCCTTTCTTAACGTGGTTACATCTGCAAAGACTCCATCACCCAATTAAGTCACATACCGCATCTACTATGTGCGGGCACGGGAATATAAAACTGGACAAGACAAACCTGATTGTGCCCCGTGAAGCCCGCATTCCAGAGGGGCTTTGAGGAGAGGGAGTCAGGTGGGTGCAGGAAACCCCCACGGCAGCATCCTCATGTTTCTCCCTCCAACATGACAACATGAGGATTTATAATAATAATTATATTAATTATTAATTATAGTAATAATAATGCCTTTCCACAGTAATGTACTCTGCACTCAGGATCCACATTTACTTAACTTTTGCAGGTTCTGGACCTTCTGAAAAATCAGTGTTACCGAACCAGCCTCTTTATAGTCAAAGTTATAAACTGTTTTCTCTTCCTTGTTCTGGAAAACTCTCAATGCTGCAGTTTCCTGCGAAATTCAGCGCAAGATTCCAACACGTTTCAAATGGTGACAAAAAGGAAGCCCGCCCTCCTTATCCCCCCACACATACAGCACTAATGAATGGCATTGTTATGAGGACAGCACTGCACGTAATGTTCCCAGACGGCCTGTCCTCACACAGGCCTGTGCCCAGCCGTGCTGCTTGCACCGGCTTCATAACCTGGGTCCCAGACGCGGCTCCACGTCATCTGAGCGAGCAGAGCCGCTTCGGCGAACCGCACAGGCAGGCAGAGCAGCCACGCACGATGTGACTGGCCTTACAAACGGGGGACCTGTGATGGGAGGTCAGAGGATGAACACAGCCTGGCTGGGAACGTTGTCATTAGAGTAGGATATTGTGCTGCCTTTGCCTGGCCCAGTGAATTCAGCATTCTTCTCACATCATAGAAAGTGTTAATCTTAGTCCATAAAAGTTGGGCATGCCAGAAAAGAGAAGTAACACATTTCTTTACTTTCTATCACTCAGGCTGGTGGTAAATTCAATCTCAGTCCTTAATGAGGCTTTCTAGTCCCCACCCCCTCACCCCCCAACAGCCAGGAGTGTGCCAAGATCCTGGCAGTGCCAAGGCAGCGGGAATGCACTTGATTCTGTTTCGGGTTTGGGGCACAGGTATCATCATTGAGGGTGTGTGTCCTCAAGCAGGGTCAGTACCATGCATGCTGCAAGACATTCTACAATGCACAGGGCAACCCCACAAACCACAGAATTCTCCTGCCCCAAATGTCAGTAGTACTGAGATTGAGACACCTGCCTTTAGAGATTCACAAGCCTCTATTTTCCCAGCCATCTGACCCCCGATCGCTTTACAGCCTGGGGACCTCTTTTCCTTTCTCTTCGTGCCTTCTGATTTTAACTGCCCTCTCCAGTCTTGTTATCTTCTAAGGCACCTCCCCCTTGGAAGAGCTTAGTCTTTCACCAGCCACAGAGATGAACTGTTACTGGGCTAAGCCAACCATGCCCACACCACAGTGCTAGATACTGGCTTTCCCAGCTTCTCTTGCAGCTAGGGGCTGCCATGTGACACAGTTCTGCCAATTAGATGTAAGGGGCAATGTGTTGGGGACTCTGGGAAAGAGATTATCTGGAAATGAGGTGTTTTGGAGAGGGGAGCTGGCTGGTGTCAGCCCCCATAGCCTCCCTGCCTGGAGCATCCATATGAGGATGTGATGTGTGGTCTAGCTGGTTTAGCTCAGTGGATAGAGCATCGGCCTACAGACCAAAGGGTCCTCGGTTTGATTCTGGTCAAGGGCACATACCTTGGTGGTAGGCTCCTCCCTGGCCCGGGCCTGGTCAAAGGCCGTGTAGGAGGCAACCAATCGATGTGTTTCTCTCACATCTATGTCTCTCTCTGTCCTTCTTTCTTCTGCTCTCCCTAAAAATCAATGGGAAAATATCCTCAGGCAAGGATTAAAAAAAAAAAAAAAGGAAAAAGAAAAAGAAGTTGTGATGTGTGCGGTTGTGGCAGCTACCTTGTGACCCTGAGGTAAGTTAGGAGATTTTTCAGAGCTGCTGGACCTTTTTGAGCCACTGAATGAACTCTGAAAACATCCTCTCAGGCCCCTTGTTAAGTAATCCACAAATGCCCTTCGAGTTTAGACCAGTGATGGAGAACCTTCTGAGCTCGGCGTGCCAGCATTTTGAAAAACCCTAACTTAACTCTGGTGCCGTGTCACATATAGCAATTTTTTGATATTTGCAACCATAGTAAAACAAAGACTTATATTTTTGATATTTATTTTATATATTTAAATGCCATTTAACAAAGAAAAATCAACCAAAAAAATGAGTTCACGTGTCACCTCTGACACGCGTGTCATAGGTTTGCCATCACTGGTTTAGACCATACTTGATATACTTGGGCAAGCAACTTAACCTCTGTCGTACTTTTGTGTAAGAAGAAGGGGGGCAAGGGAGATAAATTCCACATAAAGTTGTTGTGGAGATTTAATGAGATGATATATGTAAAACATCTGATTCAGTTCCTGGCATATACTAAATATTCAATGTATTGGAGATGTTTTTGTTATTATCCCTATAAACTAAATTAATGAGGGATGATATTGTGTGTTGGATGGTAAGTTTCTTCTATTGATTGATTGTTCACTCAATTACCCAACAAATATGTACTAGAGCCTGCCATGCTAAGATACTGGGGATGACAGGAAATTATTTTAAAATAATATAATGTTATCAACCAATGTTACCAAAATAAATTTAATTTAAAAAATAAAGAACACAATTAGAGGGAAACAGTAGACAAGATGTTGTCTGTTAGAGCCCACCAAAGTCCCCTGTTATTTAGGAGTGGCATTTTACAAACCAGTTTTCTGCCTCTGTCCTTATATTTGCCATATCCATTTACTATAGCATTGTACTATGACATAGTACTCTTTTTTGTTAAGTAGATTTACTGTAAAATGAAACTTTGTATCACTATGGTAAATGGAAAACCAATGTCCCTTGACATAAACAAAAAATGGACAAAATATAAATGCAATAATAAACTCCCTAATGTTATTAAAGCAAAATATTTATTTGTGTGCTACCTAAGATCATCTTACATACTACAGTTGGTACCTATACTATACTTAACAAATAATCACACCTAATGAAAAATTTTTAGAAGTTTAAAAAGTGCCTGAGATTCATAAATGCTGCAGTGGGTCCTGACACAGAAATTAGACATAAATAATACGATTATTACACCTAATTATTCCTCAGCAGTTCATCTTACTTAGAGGAAAATCACTATGATATATAGCGTGGCTTTCTGGTTAACAATATTTGCCCCCTCCTTATTAAGTTTATGAAACATTTCTCCTTCGTAATCCCTGAGATATTTTACCATGAACGTAAGAATCCAATAATACCCTTCAACAGTGATTTATTCTTCATTCAGCATCCAGATTGACTTAACTTTTGCAGGACATGGATCTTCTGAAAAATCAGTGTTACTGAACCAGTTCGTTTATGTCAAAGTTATACACTGTTTTCTCGAATTTAGCAGAAGATCCCCCTATTTTTCAAATGGTTGACAAAAAGGTCACCTCCCACCACCTTTTCCCCAATGCACAATAACATTTCAAGAGTATATTTTAATAAGTTTCCTTTGAATAAACCTAAACCTAAATTACTCAGCCTTTGAGAAGTATCGTGACTTCGGGTTATTTTGTGATCATCAGTCGAAGCCATGATGGGTTGGAGTAAGATCTGAGGGGAATAGACGCTCTTGTCAGTTGTCCTGGGCGAAGAGGGGAGAGATGATAGGAGCTGAACCTAGGATGGTAGCTCAGAAAAGAGCACCTTTGGAGATGGGTACAATTTAAGAGTTGATACAAATAACCCAGGGATGGTAGCCCTTAAGAATGTGGTGGGGTCAGGCAACCTGTTGGAATGGGAGAAAGTATTTGCAAATTATATACCTGATGAGGAGTTAATAGCTAGAATATACAAAGAACTACTACAACTAAACAACAAATTCCAAATAACCTAATTTAAAATGGGCAAAGGACTGTCTCCAAAGAAGATGTATACAAATGGCCAACAAGCACATGCTCATATCAGTAATCATTAGGGAAATGCAAATGAAAACCACAATGAAATACTACCTCAAGACCAGGAGAAGGCTACTGTCAAAAATCAGAAAATATCAATTGTGCTTGAGGATGTGGAGAAATTGGAACCCTGTGCACGGTTGGTGGGGATGTAGAATGGTGCAGCTGCTGTGGAAATCAGAACGATGAATCCTCAAAGAAATTAAACATAGAAATTATCATGTAATCCAGCAATTGCATATTTGGGTCTATTCCCCAAAGAACTGAAAGCAAGGTTGAACAGATATGTGTACTCCTATGTTCATAGCAATGTAATTCACAATAGCCAAAAGGGGGAAGCAGCCCACATGTCCCTCGATTATGTGCATGGAATGTATGTGCAATGGAACATTATTCAGCTTTTAAAAAGAAGGAAATTCCGACACATGCTACAATGTGGATGGACCTTGAAGACATTATGCTAGTTCTAGCCTGTTTTGCTCAGTGGATAGAGCATCGGCCTGTTTACTGAAGGGTCCCATGTTCAATTCCGGTCAAGGGCACATGCCTGGTTTCGGGTTTGATCCCCAGTAGGGGTTGTGCAGGAGGCAGCTGATCAATGATTTGCTCTCTCATTGACATTTCTATCTCTTTCTCCCTCTCTGAAATCAATAAAAAATATATAAAAAAGACATTATGCTAAGTGAAATAATTCAGTCACAAAAAGATGAATAGTGTACAATCCCCTATATGAGGGTCCAACCCATTCCTAGAGACAGGAAGTAGAAAGGTGGTTGCCAGGGGCTCAGAGGCATGGGGAATGCAGAGTCATTGTTTAATGGGTATAGAGTTGTAGAGTTGCAAGGTGAAAAGAATTTTGGAGATTGGTTGCATAAAAATGTGAATGTGCTTAACACTACTGAACTGTACACTTAAATAGTTGATGTAAATTTTATATGTTATAAAAGGAATGTAGATGGGTCCCTTGGGAAATTACTGAACTCTGCCAAAATGGGCAGGTGGTGGCTTAGGCCAGGGCACTTGGACTATTGGAGAAAATATGGCTTAGCTTTATGGTCACAGGCAGAAACATGTTGGTTACTATAAGGGAAAGAATCTTCCCTTTGCCCAACTGAGTCTTGGGAAAGGTTTGCTGGAAGAGTTCACGTCCGAACTGTGGAGGCCAGAGCTGTCTTTTGCACACTTGTGCAGGTGTGATCATCCAGCTGTGTGCTAGCTGTTTCTCCAATGTTTGGGGCAGCTGGAAAATTGGATTTCAGAACACGTTAATGTTAGAAAGCTCATTCCCCACAGAGTCAAGGCTGGGAGGTGACGTCTCCTCCAGAAAAAGAGGAGGTCCTCCTCATGCATCGATGGCTGACTTTTGGCACACTGTATGGGTTTAAAAGATTTCCCCGGGATTTTGGGGTTCATCTCTCTGTTACTGTAGCTCCCCACATGTTCAGGCCCCCTTAAACTGGTTGCTGGATTATTGCAATTGCTTCCTTGGCTCTGCCTCTCACCCCAAACCAAATGCATTCCTCACGATGCAGTCAGATCCTTCTCCCCAAATTGCAACTCGGTTTCTGTCACTCTGCATTACCCTTTGAAAAAAGTCTAAACTCAGTTTAGCATTTGAGGTTCTCCACCATGTGATTCTAACCTACCTCCCTACCGTGAAGCCCCTCTTATCTTTTGCACCTGGCTGCCGGTGGAACATGCACACAGCCCCACTTCCTTTTTTTGGCCTTTGACCATGTCATTCCTCTCTCAATTTCATTCATCCTTCCAGGTTGAGCTTAACTGTCACCTACGAAGACAGCCCCCGAGGGACTGAATGCTGCCAACACCACAGGAATGAGCTCCACATGGCTCCTTCCCCAGGTGAACCTTCAAATAAGACCACAGCCCATGCTGACACCTTGACTGTAGCCTGTGACAGAACCCAAGCAGAGGACCCAGCAAAGCCCTGCCTAGATTCCTTACCCACAGAAAACGTGAGAGAATAAATACATGTTGTTTTGAGCCTCTAACTTTTGGGATGAGTTTTAAATGTAGCAACATATAACTACTACAGAAACAGAGAGGCCAATAAAGAGACATGCTCAAGGTCACAGAGCTCAGATCGCAAAGCTGGTGTAGGAACCCTCAGCTCATTCCCCGATCACCACCTCCGTGGCTCTACAGTCTAGATCACAGTGGCTTTAAATGCTTGGTGCGGGCGTATGGCCCCTTTCAAGAAGGCACGGGGAAGCCACAGAAGGGTTTGGGGTGATGTGGGGTAAGAGGAAAACCCATGTCTTCTGGAGTCAAATGTCTTGATTCCAGCCAGAGACGGCGATGCTAGCCTGGGGCAGGGATGTCAGGGTCATGCTGGCAAGACCTCAGAATGTCCTCAGGAGTGAACTGAGGGTCAGGCAGACAAATAAACACTGTCCTGGAGTCCTTAGAGTCAGGGTGATCTGAGGAGGCTCGTGTGTTCAGAGGGAAGGCGAGAGAAGTGCAGGCTGGCTCCGGCGCTGGCACTGCTTCCTGTGAGAGTAACAGACACGAGTTCCTGTCTGAGCTGGGACAGCCCTGCAGCAGGCTCGGTCCTGACACAGCCCACTCTCCCGCACAGGCAGCATATCTGTGACCACCCGTGGCTCCAAATGACAGCTTCTTGGGCGGCTGATGTCTTTCATTTCCTTGTGACAATAGTGGAGGAAAATAGCTTTCTGGACTCAGCTCCAAACTGATAATTAAATGAGCACCTTAACGCCAGCCAGGGCAGAAGCCTCCACCAATGGCCTTCCAGAAAAGGGAAAAAATAGTACAAATAGTCTTGCTCCCTTCATTCTCTTTCTCTTCATATGGAAATAGCTGACAGGCCTGCCAGCAGCCTGGGCTCTGTTGATTTCCCCTCTCCATGTCTGCCGCAGGGATGCAAAGGGGCACTTCGCAGGCTGAGAGGTCTAGTTCAGGTTCATATTTCTGAAGGGACCAGGGGTCCCCTCCCTTCCCTGCGTCTCTTTGGCTTCCTGGGGCCATTTTCTTAGGAATGCCTCCAGGTTAGCCGCAGAGGATTATGCAGACCTGGGCGAGGCCCGGGCAACAGAATGAGGCTGTGAGAGTAGGGGCTTGGGACTCAGCCTGCCCCGAGTGCCAGCACGGGTCCTGGCATTTTCTAGCTTTGTGACCCTGGGCAAGTTACGTGACTTTTCTCAGCATCAGTTTCCTGACCTGTCAAATGGTACTACCAGGTGGTTGTAAGGGTTCACAGGGGTGATGCATGTACAGCACTTGACGTGGTGCTGGCATACAGTAAGCAACCCCCCAAATCTTAGTGAAATATTTATGCCAGTGGGGATCGGGGTGGGGTAGCTGGGGAGGATGGCATAGGGGAGGCCCTGTAACCACCTAAGGTCACAACCATGGACCTCGCTCTGCTGACCTGAAAGGCCGGACTTACCCAGGATGCAGCTCATGGGCCTCCCCGACCACTTCCTGCTTGTTCCCCACGAGGGGCACCTTCAGTTGCCAGGAATCAGGTTGTTAAAATGTGTGACAAGGCCCGGGCCCAGGTTTGTGGAATCCGTGTTTGGGGATTAGGACTCCACAGATGGGCTTGTATTTGTCTTGAGAAGTTTGAAATGAAAGATCCAACTTGGAGAGAGAGAGAGAGAGAGAGAGAGAGGTTTTTTGTTTTGTTTTGTGGCTAAAGGCTGTAAGGTGGGTGATAGAAAGGGCTCTGCGGTGGGGGTCTGGACAACCTGGTCCGAAGCTGTCAGACCGACCTTCTGCCCGTTCCCTCAGTTTCCCTAAATGTGGAGCTCGGCCATGATGCCGGAGGTGCAGGAGAAAGCTGCCTCTTAGCCAAGCTCCCCAAAGACAGGGCCTGAGCCCCGAGCTTCGGCGAGGCTGTGAGTGGGGATGGGGGCAGCAGGCTGGGGCCGGGGAGGAGTGAGTCTGGCGGTGGTCTCAGGTGAGCTTCCGCCTGATGCCACGGAGCCCCCGTGAAGTGCACAGAGGGGTCTTGCTGAGGCGGGGGCCAGCCTTTGTGAGCCCATGTCCCCCATCCTTGTTCACCGGCTGCCTCTGGAGAGGAGGTGGGGGCTCCCTTATGGAGGAGGGGGATGCTAGGAGCTGTTAGCCCCCAACACTTACCCGTCCAGTAGGTAGGGGGTAGGCCTGGTAGAGGGGATCTGGGTAGACCCTGCAGGACCCCCACCCCCTTCTTTATTCCTAAGAGGTTGAGTCATGGTGGTCCTTCTGTTTCTGGGCACAGTCTTGGGGGATCATGACCTGCGATGGGGCCAGTGGCTGGCATCTTGAGGACTCAGCCCTCCAGGTGGTTCCACCTACCGGAGTTGATGTTTCCTCGTTTCCACAGGCTGGCAGGACCCGGCAGCGGAGGACAGGCGTCTCAGCCTCTGCCCAGCCTTCCTGCCCATTGCTGGAAATGAAAGCAGCCAGAACCCCGCCCACGCAGAGGCCAGAGTGATGAGATCCCAGGGGCTGTGCGATGTGAGCGAGCGAGCGCGCTGTAAAAGCACATTGCCACGGAGAAGGAGGAAGGCTGTCACCAGGCGGTCCCGGGGAAGCGGGGCCTTGGCAACTCATCAGAAGGCTTCCCAGGGTGTGAATAGAATTCTTCTCTGCGCTAGAGGTTGAGCAATTCCAATCCAAGAGCTGCGCTGCTGCTCGGGTCTGTCCTGCCAGATAAATGGATGGGTGTTTGAATTTGACAGATGAAGTCCCCAAGGCAGGGAACCACCGCAGTGGGCTGGAAGGAAAGAAGGCAGTGCCTCAGGGCTGGAGGGGTGGGCAGAGAGCCCCTGGAATCAGGAGAGATGCAGAGCTGAGAGAAGCTGTGGCTCAGAAACCACAGGCCCAAACAGGGTGCAAATCCGAGAGATTAGCCTGGGAGCAGCAATCCTTGTAATTAGGACATGGGTTAGGGTGGGGTTAGGGTGGGCCACTGTGGAACAAATGCCTAGAATGAGAGTTCTGTCCATCCATCATCCCTCCGTCTACTCATCCACCCACCCATCAATTCCTCACCATTAATTAAAAAATCTTTTTGGAAAAATGAAAATAGAACTAAGGATAAAAGTAAGGCCAAGATCCTTAGAGAAAAACAGTTACTAGTTTCTTTTCGTTTCTGTGCCTTAGACTTTTATCATATCTTAAAGGCACGAGTGGCATTTATGTGCCATCTTGGGCAAGTTTGGGGTGTGCCATGTGTGTTTCAAGAACCAGGGTGAGTCCAGATCATATCATACACGGGCTTTGAAAAGTCCCGCCAAGTGGTTTCCCAGAACTCAAACGTCAGTCAGATGGTTAGGTTTGAGAAGTGTTCACTTTCCGTCTGAGTAAGGACAGCTGGGGTTTCATTCATCTGCATCACTTGGTCATAATTTGTTTTCTTTTCCGCTTCTCCAGTTCCCAAGATAAATCAAAGGGCAATTTCCACTGATGTTGCTGAGTAACAAGAGCCATTAACAACTTGCCTGTTGTTATTCTAACAACCTTCGCACCTATCAATGAAAGAGGGCTCCCTTTAGCCACATACATAATTGGATTTTTATGCCCAATGCATCCTTTCCCCCAACTTTTATTTTGCAGCATTTTAAATCTATAAAAAGGTAAAAAAAAAAAGTGTGATAACCATCCCGTGTCCTTGTTTTAGATTCACCAATGGTTGTCATTTGACATTTTGCCATATTTAAAAATTAAAAAAAACACGACTATTTGAAAGCAGATAGCGACCATTATGACCCTTCTGCTCTAAATACTGCCTCTCCCTAAAACAAGGGCTTTCTTCTCCATAAACACAATACCGTCATCATGATCCCAAGTTTAATAATGGATATAATAATTTTATCTAATGTACCATCCATATTCCAATTTTCTCAAGTGCCTCGTTATCATTCTTTGAAGTTGTTTTCCTTTTTTTTTTGTTCCTTGATCCAGGATCCAATCGAGTATCACACAAAGCCTTTCGTTGACATGTCTCTTAGGGTCTTTTAATCTAGAATGTTCCCCAACAGCCACAGCTTATGTCTTTTCCATGTCTCATGGTGGATTGACATTTTTGAGGAACTGGCCAGTTGTCTTCCAGGATGTCCAGTAACTTGAATTTGTCTGATCATTTCCTTATAATTAGACTTAGAATAAACCCTTTGGCGAATGCAATGCACTGGCAATGTTTTTTACTTCCCATTGCATCACACTGGGGGGCACAAGACGTCAGTCCGGGTCCATTATTGGTAAGGTTAGATTTGAACAGGCATTTAAGGTGGTGTCTGCTACATTTCCCCACTGTAAGTTAACAAGCGAGGCATGTGACTATTCCATTCCCAGTGGCCTTTTTCCATGGGTTTAGCATTAACCGAGGCTCCTTGTCTGAATCGATGATTATATTCGCAGTTAAAATCTTAGGATTCCTATTCATTCACGTCACTCAGTCTATATTTATTGGCTGGTGTTCTTGTGTAAAGATCTGCACCTCTCTGTCCCTCCCCCATTTTAAAATTTCTTATTTTTGGCATTACTGTGGTCTTGTGGATTCTTTCCATCTGCCATGGGGAGCAGGGTCAAGCTGGCTTCTTTGACCTTGTAACATGCCTTCTTCCTTTTTTGAGCACTTCTTCCTCTCTGGTACAAGGTGTTGCCCTGGAAAGGGAATCAGTCATTTCTCCTTCTAGTGGGGACATAGTATTGAGGAAGCAAGATATGGGTGCTGGGTGTGCTTTCTTGATATTGGAGTGATGTTACTTCTCGATCTTTTGAGTGGGAGATGTTACTTCTCGATCTTTACCACAGCTACTCCTCGTCCCCTGGTTTACCCATTCCATATTTGCATCTTCATTCTCCCATAGTGGGAACATTCCGTTTCAAAAACATTTAATGTATTTCCTCATTTACTCAATAATGAACACACAAAATACTTTCAGAATGAGTGTACTGTACCCACTCACAACACAAATCTAGTAAATCAAGTCAGGATTTCTTTGCAGTTCTTTTGGTCCTGCCCACG